GAAAACTTTTCAATTACCATCTCAAAATCAGCAAGGTTTGGTCATGGGAAGTGCAAGACTTATGAGCGATGGTAATCAAGTAAATATTGTATTTGTTAATGCATTTATAAAGAATTTTGGGTAGCAGTAAATATGAATACCATGTGGTGCCTAGTCTAAAAAGGTGAGCACTGATCAAATTCGACTTCTGACCTGGAGAACTGTGTATTTATATATTCTTTATCAAAGGCAAACATATTTTACATCAGTATTTGCAATTCTCATTCAAGTTCTAAGGTAAAAGAACTAAAAGATTGTTTTTACTCATAAATAAAACAAATAAGATTTTTCTATGTGTTTCTAAGTCATACTAGAAAAAAACTTTGGTTTGTATTTCCTGGTATTACTCGTGGATGCTATTTTTATTCAGGACTGCTGCTGACAACCATGAAGTTGGTTCCATAGTTCATATTCTTTTTCCACCATCCACAGATCCACCACATTTCTTAAGCTGGGTTTAGGGTGTTCTCAGAAACATATTTTTCTACCCATTTATTTGTGGTTAACCCACTTTAGCTTGTCTTACGCTGGTTGCTCCCGTGTCCACCATCAAGTCCAGCCCAGCAGATGTGGGTTCAGCAAACAAGTCCCGATAAACAGGCTGCTTCCTAGAATCTTAGATGTGTTGTTCTGCGACAAAGATGACCTACACCCCTTAAAAGCTTTATAGGGTAGCAATGACTCTTTTATTCCCAATGGGAGGGTTGTACTATTTAGAGGAAATGATCCAGAAAAATGACATGGTCTGACTTACATACTAAGAGAACCACATGGACTTAGGATGCTACTGGAATAATCCAGACAAGAGGTGATAATGGCTTGGGCCAATGTAGTAAAAAGAAGAGAGGAGAGGGGTATCTGAGGATATTTTGAAATAAAAATCTATTATTCCTTTTAAAGCCTTCTGAGAAGATACCACAGCCATTCTCAATAATTATTCCAAACTCTGAATGTCAAGAAATTACTTCTTCTATCTGTAATCAGACTTTAGTTGTCTGTGGTTTTCAAAAACTGCTAGGATATCCAATTCTTTGTTTACATATAGTGTCCAAGAGAATACAGCCCTCTAGTTAGGACCTTGCTGTTCCTAAAGGGGGTATTATATCATTTTTATAACATTAGAAGTTAAAATCCTAAAATATTTCTCCTTTGAATATATTAGAATATGACTCAAGTCAAACAGAATAATGTCTCATCAGAAGACAGAAATCATCCCAAAGTTTCAAAGCACTTGTATTATAAGAGGCCTCTATATCTGAATCATTACACTCAGCAAACATTTAATGAGCTCTTATTTATCAAGTCTTATTGTCTGCTGCTATGTAATAAACTACCCCAGAACTTAGCAGCTTAAAACACCACATGTTTATTATCTCGGTTTCTGTGGGTCAGGAAACCACACATGGCTTAACTGGGTACTCTACTTCCGGATTTCTCGCAAGGCTACATCCAAGGTATTGACTACAGCTCAGGGCTGTGACCCCACCTGAAGGCTCAGCTGGGAAAGGATCCTCTACCTGGTTTATATTGTGGCAGGCTTCATCTGCTTCGGACTGTTGGCTGGAGGCCTCAGTTCTTGCTGGTGGTTGGCCAAAGGCCACCCTTAACTCCCTGCCACATGAGACTTTCTAACCATAGCAGCTTGCTTCATCAAAGCCAGTAAGAGATTTGAAAGTGGAAGTTACAATCTCTTGTGAACTAATCATAGATGCAACATATCATCACATTTACTGCATTCTGTTGGTTGGAAGCAAGTCACTGGATTTAGCCCATGTTCAGACAGAGAGGTCCATATAAGGACATGAATATTAGTAGGGGGCATTGTTGGGTTCCATTTTAGAAGCTGTCTACCACAGATGATTTGTTTATCTACTCTACATGAGGCATGCTCTAAACCTCCCTTGTGAAACTATCATAGGGCAGGGGGGGCAAAAATGTGAAAATTACCAGTAAAATATATATTCTGTCTGATGGTGATAACTTCTATGGAGAAAAAGAAAGCAGGAGATATATTAGTAATTACTATTATTATTATTGTTGTTACCCACTTGACAACAGGGAGGTATTATTCTCAATACAGGTCTGGGAAGGTCTCAGGCTACTCTATGCTAGTTGCTCACATGCTCTCACTTAGACCCATGTCCCAAGCTTGAGGATTCTAGGCAGGAGGACAGCATGAATAAAGCAGAGGGTAACATGGATGGATAAGCAGCAGAGTAGGAGGTCAGAAGCACAGAATATGGGGCTAGTGTGTTTTTGTGAAGATTTCAGCTGTGTGACTATGGGAAAGTTATCTAGTCTCTCTGTACCTCAGTTTCCTCATCTATAAAATGAGGATTATAATGGGACTTAACTCACAGAGTTCTTGTCATTTAATATTCCCTAGTGTACTTAGACCAGTTCCTGCACATAGATATTGAGATCCTATCAAGAAGGGGAAACAAATTTAACAGCATTAAGAACACTACAGAAAGAAATCCCAACACTATTTTATTACAGAACATGGATTCTGATCCATTAAACAGAAAGGAAAATGTAAGCCTGTGTCCTTAGGATTGTAAATATACCATGGACTAATAAATGCCAGAGGGTTTTCGTTTTTTGGTTTACTACGTGGAAGGATTACCAGCAATTCAATTATTCTGTACCCAAAGGGTGTTGTGGATAAATGGATACAACCTTATTTTGACTCACCCGTTTGTTTTGTTTGTTTGTTTGTTTGTTTTTTTGAGGAGTTTTTCCTATAGGGCACATATGCTCACCAGAAAGACAGAGAGACAGAAAGTGAGAAATCACCCCTCAGGGAAGATGGCCATGCCACAATCCTTTCTCCTCCATTCTCCTCTCGGGATCTTGGGCACGCACGCACACGCACCTGGCAAGAGTTTAAGCCACTGGGTCCAAGACTTGAACCACAGTCAGCTACGTGGGAGTCCAGTGACATAGCCATTATGCCAACTGCTGGTACCAACTCACCCCAGTTCTAAAAATTTCTACTTCTTCAGAAAACCTCTGGGCCATGCTATTCCCTATTTCTTTTTTCTTTCTTTTTTATTTTTAAAGAGATTTTTGCTTTAGGACATGTGCACTCACCAGAGAGACAGAGAGACAGAAAAGGAGAAACCACTTCCTAGGCGGGATGGCCATGCCAGAATCTCTTCTTCATTCTCCTGTTGGGATTTTGGGCACATACACACACATGCCTGGCGTGAGTTTAAAGCCACCAGGTCAGGGACTCAAACTACAGTCAACTACATGGGGGTCCAGCAAAGTAACCTTTACACTATCTGCTGGTCCCTGGGTTATGGTATTTCCAGGCTGTCAATTAATCTGGGAATTTTATTGTTGCTTCTGATTTTCTTTCAGGGTTTGTTTCTCTTCACAGGCTTCACTTACTCCATTTAAAATGGAATGAAATCTCTTTAGAATATTACTTTAAAATATAGACACAGTTCACATTTAAAAAATGATTACAAAACAGAAACAGAAATAGTAAAAGATAAAGTAAGTGGACCTGGATTTCCTGTTATCCAGACTCCTCTTTCAGGAACTTCCCCTATGTTATTAGAAACAGTCATAATGTTCTCATCCTTATGACTGCTTCTGAGGAGTCCAGTTCCTGCTGTACCACAGAGTCAGGGAATAGTGGATAAGAAACTAAATCACAAGGATGTAGGAAGAAGAGGGTAGTGGGGAAGCAGGGGCAACAAGGTAGAATGTTACCTTACAAGGAAAGGAGAAATAAGGTAACAGCCTGAGGTCGTCAAGATCAAAGCTTTTTGTTGTTTTAAGAATTATTTTATTTATTTATCATTTTTCACATGAATTTTGCCAGAGGAAGAGAGAGAGACATAGAGAGAGAAAGCAAGCCGCCAGATCTGGGCCTCGAACTATGGTCAACCATGTAGGAATTCCAGCATCTTAACCACCATGCCACCTGCTAGCCCTACTTTTTGTTGTTGGTTTTGGGTTTTTTTTGGAGAGGTTTTTGCCATAGGGTGCGTGCGCTCGCCAGACAGACAGAGAAAGACAGAGAGACAGAAAGCGAGAAATCACCCTCCAGGGGGGATGGCCACGCCACAATCCCTTCTCCTCCATTCTCCTCTCGGGATCTTGGGCATGCACGCACACGCGCCCGGCGTGAGTTTTAAGCCACCGGGTCTGGGACACAAACTGCGGTCGACTTCGTGGGAGCCCAGCGACATAGCCATTACATTAACTGCTGTTGCCTTTAACTTTTTTTTTTTGGTCTTTTTGTTGTTTTTTAACAGTGGAGACACTTGAACTTATTTGTTGCCAGAAGAAGCTTGAGGAGACAGACAAATGAAGATATAACTGAAAGGCAATAATTAATACTCTTACAAGAATGGGAAGAGAATGAGAGTGGACACAATGAGAGCACTTTGATTTGTTTCATTTCTGGCTTTCTTTTTCAAAATTATTTTATTTAGCTTTATTTATTCATATATATATATATTGATCAGAGGAAGAAAGAGTGGGGATGGGAAGTGAGAAAGAAAACCACCACGTCCAGGACTTGAACCACAGTCGACCGTGTGGGAGTCCAGTGCCCTTAACCACCATGCCACCTACCGGCCCTGTCATTTCTGGTTTTCTTAAAAAAAAAAAAAAAAAAAAAAAAAAAAGGTTCCTGGTGACTTCTGGATAGCCAGAATTAAATAGTCATCCAACTAAGCTGCACTACCTGCTGCTCCTCTAGGAAGTTTCTCGGAACAGCTCCACAAGGAGTGGCATCTCCTCTAAGTGTGATGCACTCAACTTGCAGGGCTTTGGTGAAATTTAGCACATACTAAGGCTTGCTTCTACCAGTTTTCTTTGTCTTTAGATAACTCTCTTCTTATCTTTAAGAGCTGATTCTCAACTTCATAGGTATAACTGGCACAAAAAGTGAATGGGGGCAAAGAAGAATATAATAATCAAATTATTATTAATTTTTCCAGACTTGAAGAAAGTCCCAAAAAACATCCCTCCAGATATTGTTAAACTTGATTTGTCATACAATAAAATCAACCAACTTCGCCCCAAGGAATTTGAAGATGTTCATGAGCTAAAGAAATTAAACCTCAGCAGCAATGGCATTGAATTCATAGATCCTGGTAAGTGCCACTGAATAGCCTTTTAATGACTAATAGGTCTTCTATCATTTTTTTCCCTATGGTAATGTATGTATAGTAAATAAAATTTCATAATTTATAACTTAACAAAAATAACTAAATAATAAAAAGTCTGAATTTTAATTAAACATGACACTTACAGTCAGACTTGTTTGGCAGCCAGAAAAATATTTGCCAAATGGCAGATGTTGCTTTATGACACATGTACTATTGTATTGGGTCGTTAGAAAAGTCATGATGTATTCTTCCATATTTTTCTATGGAAAAATGCACCATAATTTTTTCAATGATCCAATATTTACCATATATTGCTAAGCAACATTCATACAATTAGCCCAAATTCTTAAAGCATTTTGTAGAACAGATTTTTTAAATAAGAGTATGTGCCAAGTGGTCAGTAATACACTAAAATGTAGTGATTTTTTTAAAGGAGAAGACAGATTTGGCATCTCTTTAGTATTCATTAAGTCCCAACTTGTTTAAATTTTAAAAAAACTGCTAAGCACTAAGCTAGTAAGTTAAGGTATAATGTGCTCAAATCAGAGCTAGACATACTCTTTTTTGGGGGGGGTTGGGGGGGAGGTTTTCCGCTATAGGGCACGTGCGCTCGCCAGAAAGACAGAGAGAGACATAGAAACAGAAGGTAAGAAACCACCCCCCAGGGGGGATGGTCACGCCGCAATCCCTTCTCCTCCATTCTCCTCTCGGAATCTTGGGCACGCACGCACACGCCCAGCATGAGTTTTAAGCCACCGGGTCCGGGACGCGAACTGCGGTCGACTACGTGGGAGTCCAGTGACATAGCCATTACACTAACTTCTGGTTCCCGAGCCAGACATATTCTATATCATATCTGTTAGGTCATTGGGAAAGTCATGACATAGTTTTCTTTATTTTTCTGTGCGAAAATGCATCATGACTTTCCAGACAACCCAATAATCATATCTAATATATTACATGTAGTTCTAGATCAAGATTAGTTCTCTCTTCCATCCTTCAAATCTCTTCTCCACTTGCTAAGCAAAGCTTCAGGGAAAAAATAAAGTTGGTAAATTAAGTAGATACACTGGCTTTAAAAAGAACTGAGAATTGGGCCCAGCAGGTGTTGTATGGTTACATCACTGGACTCCCACATTGTTGACCATGGTTTGAGTCTTGGACCTGGCAGCTTAAAATTCACACTGGGCACATGTGCGTGCATGCCCAAAATCCTGAGAGAATAGAGGAGAAGGGACTGTGGAGTGGCCACCCCCCTTGGGGAGTGATTTCTTGCTTTCTTTCTGCCAAGTTCATGCACCCTATAGCAAAAAGCTCTCTTAAAAAAATAAAAAGAACTGAGAATTTCTGCAATATTCATTATCTATGTAACATACATAACACAGATGTCTCCACAATGCACATCTATTTGAAAAGTTCTAATTATAAGATTATTAATACTACTAACAATGTACCATTTTTAGCCATAATTGTTTTGCCTGCTTTTCTGAAAAGTAATCTAAAACCACTAATAGAATATTAGGATTTTGACATGATAGACATAAAAATTGAAAATGAGCATTCTGGATCCACAAAGACATATTTAGTATTAACATCTTTTTACAATATTAAGAAAGTACCATTTAAAAAATTCCCCAAGGAGACAGATAGACAATATCAATAGTACAAAATGGATTTGTTCTACTTCTGGTTATATTTGTTCCTCATCAGTTATGGAACTGTGATAATTTCTTTTTTTAAGGTTTTTGCCATAGCATGCATGTGCTTGCCAGAGAGACAGAGAGAGACAAAAAGAGGGAAAGTGACAAATCACCCCCAAAGAGAATGACCATGCTACAATCCCTTCTCCTCCATTCTCTCCCTGGGATTTTGTGCATGCATGCACACGCACCTGGAGTGAGTTTTAAGCCGCCAGGTCCAGGACTCAAATCACAGTCACCAATGTAGGAGTCCAGTGCATTAAACAATATGTCACCTGCTGGCCCCAAGAACTGCCATAATTTTAAGGATTCCTTTTCCATCTTTAGACACATGAAGGCCTTTTAATCTTATTCACACAATGTGTTTTCCTTGCCGACACATCACGATCTCTATTATTGGCAGTGATATTCTTTTTTCTTTTTTTCCTTTGTTCAAGTCAGTCCCAGAAAAGTATTTTCTGCATTAAGAAATATGTATCTACCACCTATTAAAAGCCAAGCACTTTCCTTGGTATGTCTTCTGGAACAGAAAAGTATCTTGGCACTTAAATAAGGCAAAATGACCTAAAGAAGTTTTAAAATAAAAGACCTTCTGTATTTCAGGGTCGTTGAGATGAAACACTGCCAAAGTAGATTTACTTTAATGATTTATACTGTATGTATACAAATGCGGTGAGAGTTGCCAGACTTCAAAAGGCATGAATAACAACCTCATAAAATGCCAGACATTATTGCAGAAAAGGGAGAGAGGAGACCCTACCAAGGGTTTTACCTCCTTTAAGAAACAGATGAAAACTATCTATTTCAAGTGCCTGAATACATATGGTTTAAGTCACAACTATAACACTTTCAAAATAAAGTCTAGGAATGTTCACACATGCTTTCAATCTGAAGGGCTGACTTGCTTTAAGAAAAGTAAATTTGTGAGATCACGGACTTACAGAATTTAAGCAAATTGAAAAGAACATAATGTATTTGCATTTTCCAACAATCATCATAAAGTCTGACCTGTTGCCCTCCCCACACACACACACACATACACATACCGGCACGCACACACACACTTCACCCTCAATCCATTGCTTTGCATCAAAATAGAAAGTATTCTTTGTAGGGGAAATGATAGGGTAGTCTGAGAACCGATGATATGAAAATAGTAAATGGTATCGGTATGACATCATATTTTCCAAATTTATAATAAGGACACTATGCTCCAACAAGGGTATTTTAAAACAGTAATGAAAACATGTCTGAAACAGAAACAAAATATTTACGATCAGGATTGATCCATAAATTCCAGAGTATCTAGTCGGTCCATATTAACTGAATAGGGGTAATCTACATTTAGATTTCTTTGCTCTCAGAGAAGAAAAAAATGTTTTTTGTTGTTTTATTTTGTGTTATGTGTTTGATATTTGTTCTAATTATTCACCCTCCAGCAAAATTAAATACATATGGATTCAAAGTTAGTAACTACCATAGCCTGCCAAAACACAACCAGATGTTTCCAAAACGTTGATAAAAATTATTTGTTTTGGGATTTTACAGAAATAGAATCCCTTCCCCCACAAGCTGGGAAAAGGTTTTCTAGGTATTTTCAGAGTTTATTACTATCTCCAGGAGTTGTCCAATCATCCTCAGGTGCATTTTTCATTTTTTTTTCTCCATGTATGTCTTGTACTTGAAATATTTTCCTAATTCATATGTTTTTTTTTTTTTTTGTGGCATCTTTCCGATAAATATAAAAAGTGTACATGAGCCCAAACTACATTTTCTTTTTGGCTTGAGGGCCTGCACACTTGCAAGAGATAGAGAGAGAGAAAAGAAAAAGCACCCCCTTTGGGGAATTTCATGTGAAATCCTTCTCCTCCATCTCTTCCTTTTGTTAGAACTTCAGGTGCACGTGTGCGCATGGACACACACACACACACGCACACGCACACACACACGCACACGCACACGCACACACGGTGTTTCAAAATACAATGTCCAGGATTCAAACCTCACGGTAGGTCATGTGGGATTCAACTGCCTCAATCACCAGGCCACAGACTGGCCCCCCAAAATACAATTTTTTAAGGTTAATTTTAAACAGATTTTTCAAAATAAAATATTGTATTCTAGTCAATCAAAAGAAAAGCTTTATTTGAGTAAAACTATATTTCATAATTTTACATTTAGACATGTATACAGTGGAGAAATATAATGAAAATGAAATCGGACAATCCTGAAATCCTCTCCACAAAGGTAATAGAGAAAATAAAAACACCTTCATTAGAGAGTAATCATTAAACTAGAATGTTACGCATATCATAGGCAATCCATGAAGAAATTACAAAGACAGAATGGAACCGTGCCCTCCCATACATATGGCCAAACAGATACTATCCATTATATACATGTTTTCAGGATAAATTATGACTAGTTCTCATTCTTAATTTTACCTGCTAATTGAGGTGATCATCCATGTTAGCTAATCAGCTTTATCCAGAGGAAAACAAACTTCTAATTTTAAGAGGTCGTTTTGCAACTGGAAGGGAGGCCCCATCAAGTTTAAGCTCCTACCCTCCCGCAGAGATAAGGGTGTTAGCTTTCTGGATGTTGACATATCAGGTCCTTGAGAAAGACATTCCTGTATCATAAAGATGACAAAAATCTTACCTAGATTTCAAAAGGATCTAAAATGATTTCAAAGAGAAGAGAAAGTACTTACAATGATGTTTTCTAAAGTACCCCTTGAGAAAAAAGAGGAATTTCTTTTATTTTTGACAGAGAGAATTAACCCTCTTATTTTTCATTTGTATTTGTCCTTATGATACTGCATGTACAGTTATATTAACTCAATTACCCCTTGGAACAATAAATGCTTTCTGTTTCTAGCTGCGTTTTTAGGGCTCACACATTTAGAAGAGCTGGATTTATCAAACAACAGTCTGCAAAACTTTGACTATGGAGTACTAGAAGACTTGTATTTTTTGAAACTCCTTTGGCTCAGAGATAACCCTTGGAGATGTGACTACAACATCCACTACCTCTACTACTGGTTAAAGCACCACTACAATGTCCATTATAATGGCCTGGAATGCAAAATGCCTGAAGAATACAAAGGGTGGTTCGTGGGAAAATATGTTCGAAGTTACTATGAAGAATGCCCCAAGGACAAGTTACCAACATACCCGGAGACATTTGACCAGGATACAGAAGATGATGAATGGGAAAAAATCCATAGGGATCATGCAGCGAAGAAACAAAGTGTAAGAATCACTATAGTGGGATAACTTAGAAATTATTCTGGTTGTAACTAGTTTTGTACGTGCTATACAGGTATCAGAAGACCACATGTTTACATTTTGATTAACTGTGTTGCCTATTTATGCAGGGTTACCCAGTGAAAGGAAGCTTTCTTTAATTATTATTATAATTATTACTGTTGTGACAACTACAGTAGTCAAGGGAATAGTCTTATCCTGCTTGCCTGTCCATTTGCAGATTGGCCTCTGGTGATGCATGATTCTGAGCTGGCTGCCCGCAGGAGCTGGGTCCTAATGATGGCATTAGAATTTCATAATGTCCTGTATAAATGTTTTTACTGCTTTTTGAAAATAAAAAAAAAGAAAAACTTGGTTTCTTTTTATATGCCTTTGATAGCTATCTGTGTATATGTCATTTATTCTATCTGCCCTGCCCCTGCCTTCACGTTTTTTTTTTGTTGTTGTTTTGTTTTTTAGTAAGTTAGTTTGTGCATTAAATAAATTTTCAAATTATGACTCCTATACATTCCAAAGTGAGGTTCTGGTAAACCTAAATTCTCAACCACTCTTCCCTGATCTTTGCAAGAAACAGTCAAACTAGACCTGAAGGAGAATTGTCATAAGCAGTAAGCAGAAATTATACAAATTCTGGGAACCAGCAGTTAGCGTAATGGCTATGTCGCTGGACTCCCATGTAGTTGACCATGGTTTGCGTCCCGGACCCGGTGGCTTAAAACTCATGCCGGGCGCGTGTGCGTGCATGCCCAAGATCCCGAGAGGAAAATGGAGGAGAAGGGATTGTGGCGTGGCCATTCCCCCTGGGGGGTGATTTCTCGCTTTCTGTCTCTATGTCTCTCTCTGTCTGTCTGGCGAGTGCACGTGCCCTATAGCGAAAACCTCTCTTTAAAATAAAAAAAAAGAAATTATACAAATTCTTTTGGAAGCTATTCAGTAGATGGGACTCTATGAGATATTGTAGATGGTGTGAATCATGAACCCTGAAGAGAAATAAACACCAGTGAAGTGAAACAGCACTGTTTCTTTGAGCAGGGTTCAGACTAAGAAGCTACCTGTCAGTAGGGTGCAGCCCGAGTCCTTCCCCCCTAAGCTACTGGGTCAAGAAGCTTAACAAAGGATGAATTTAGGATTCAAGGCCAGAATTTTGATGAGGTTAAACAAACAAAACAGAAATAACCTCAGAGGCCACTGGGGTAAGGGGGGCGGGGCTGGTGCCCAACAGAAGTGCCATGATTTGGGTCAACAAATTTAAATAACCTCACCTAGAGAAAAAGGTCACTAGAAAAAGAGGATATACATGGGTAACTTGAATCCCTGACCCAGTCAGCTTTTATTTAGATAATCGGTTGTACCCTACATACAGAGAAAAAAGATAAAATGGGGAAAAATATATATACTATAAAATATTATAGTATATGATATCATGTGTTAGAAACCAAAGTCTTGGGGCCAGCAGATGGTGTGGTTCAGGTGCTGGAATCCCATATGGCTGACCGCAGTTCGAGTCCCAGACCTGGCAGCTTGAAACTCATGCAAGGTGAATGTGCATGCATGCCCCAAATCCCGAGGATGATAGAGGAAAAGGGATTGAGGAGTGACCACCTCCCCCAGGGAGGTGATTTCTCACTTTCTCTCTGTCTCTCTCTGTGTCTCTGGAGAGTACATGCATTCTATAGCAAAAATATCTCTAAAGAAAGAAAGAAAGAAAGAAGGAAACTAAACTCTCAAATTTGTATGCCCATGGTATTTGGAAATAGGGCCTTTGGGAGGTTATGAGGATTAGATAGGTGATGAGGGTGGTGAGACTGGTGGCTTTATAAGAAGAGATGGAGATGGAGATGGAGCCAGCAGGTGGTGTGGTGGCTCAGGCATTATGTCCCCACATGCCAACTATAGTTTGAGTCCTAGAGATTGAAAATCACACTGGGCCTATGTGTGTGCATGCATGCCCAAAATCATGGGAGAGAAATGAAAGAGAAGAGGCTGTGGCATGGCCATCCCTGTATAGGCTGTGGCATGGCCATCCCTGTATAGGGTAACTTCTTACTTTCCCTCTCTCTGTCTCTCTCCAGCAAGCACATGTACCCTATGGCTAAATAAATAAATAAATGAAGAAGAAAGAAAGAGGAAAAAAAAGAGGAGAGAGAGATCCAAGCTGACACATTCTTGTTCTCTCTCACCATGTGATGCCTCCTACCATGTCATGACACAATAGAAAGGCTCTTACCCTATGCCATATGCCAACACATTCATATTGGACTTCCCAGCTTCTAGAATTATAAGTTAAATAAGTCTTTATTCTTTCTTTCAGTCTGTGACGTTCAGTTACAGCAACAGAAAACACACTGACTCCTTTTTATAAAGATTTTCTTTTTGCACTAAGTTGAGTACATTTTCATTTCTTTTATCAAGATAATACTACAAAGCTTAACAACTACTCTTATTTGTTACTTGAACAAACTCCCAAAACATGGAAGCTGGCATATCACAAATACTATTGAACATTTCTTAAGTACCTACGAAATGCCAGCCACCATGCTAAGGGCTTCATATATTTCACTTTTTATTCTCACAAGATCTCTCAGGGCAGATAATATTATCTGCCTTTTACAGATGAGGAATCCAAGCCTTAAGAGCTTTTGTAACTTGGACAAAGCATACAGCTGCCAGGTGGGTTCAGCCAAGACTTAGGACTGTGAAAGCCCTTTCTTCTGTGCAAGGCTGTGTTTTACTTTAAAAGCTACCCTTGGTCATGGTTTCCTGCCATTAGAACTTCTATAATCGGGGGAGGGGGGGGGAGGAACTGGTGCAGAAAAGTTAAATTTTTCTATCCAGGAACACAAATGAGGGCCATTGACAGGAGTGTTTGGTCCAAGATATATAAGTCTACAGAAGAAATCAAGAGAATGGGAAACTGGCAGCCAGTCAGATGGTAAAGGTGGCTGGATCCCACATGGTCAACAGCAAAGTTCAAGTCCCAGACTTGGCGACTAGAAAAACACAGCAGCTCATGTGAATGTGTGCCCAAAATTGCAAGGGGAATGGAGGAGAAGGGATTGCGTTGTGTTTATCCCCCACCCCCACCCCGCCAGGAGGTGCTTGCTCTCTCTCACTCTCTCTCTAGTGCACATGCCATATTGCAAATTTATAAAGAAAGAGAAAGAGAGAAAGAATGAGAAACTGGAAGAATTATTAGACATCATAGTTCAGAAAATTATTCTGGAGGTAGATATTTAGAGGTATTGGTTTTCAATGTGAATCTCTGCATTATTCACTATAATACATCAAAGCACTTGTTAAAGTTGAAATGTTACCCAAGAAATGTAACAAACTCATTTATTATTGTACATAAGCCACAGAGTGAAATATTAAGGACCTCAGACCTGGGACCAACAGATGACATAATAGTTATATCACTGGATTCCCACATGGCGGACTGTGGTCTAAGTCCCAAACTTGGAGGCTTGAAACTCACACCAGGCATGTGTGCATGTATGCCCCAAATCCCGAGAGGAGCATGGAGAAGGTATTGTGGCAGTCCATCCCCTCAGGAGGGTGATTCTCAATTTCTGTCTCTCTGTTTCTCTTTTGTCTATCCCACAAATGCATGTACCCTACAGCAAAGGGAAAAAAAAAGAAAAGAAAAGAAAAAAAAAATCTCCCCCACTCACATAAAATAAGGACCTCAGACCTGAAACAACCAAGATTTGATCATGGAGAAAGCCTGGTATGACCTCAGGAGATAGAAGGACAAGAGAGATGAGAAAATTCTGGAATAAAATGGAGAGGTTACATCTGATTCAGAGAAAAAGCCCAAGTTGTTCTATTTTTTAGATGTTATTTGAGGATTTTATTGGTTGATTTTTATATTCAGTTTCATCCCTAGGGATCTATTTGGAAATAAAGTTCTGGAACACATCAAAATAGAAACTAATCACAACCATCCAAAAATAAGTTAGCTGGAATTGCTAATCTCTCTCAGGGCTAAAATTGAGGTACTTCTTCTCTCCATCAGATTTTATACTTTTTCAAGGAAGCATAGTTGATCCCTGAAGGAATGAACAATTAAATATTTCCTCTTCTACCAATTTCTTACCTGGTAGTTATTCTAATAACCTGCCTTTTGACTTTCCTTTGTTTGATAGATGATAAAGTTCAAGAGATTAAAAATAAGTATATTCTATGATAGCCAAAAGTATGACAATCCTGATACATATATATATGTAATTAAACATGTATGTTTACCATCAGTATTTTGAAAAAATAAGTTTGTTAAATAATTTTTATTTAATTGTACTTATTATTATTATTGTATTTTAATTTGCTATAGGGCATGTGTGCTCACCAGTGAGAGATATAAAGAGAGAGAGTGAGAAAGCGAACTACCAGGTCTAGGACTCAAACCTCTGTTGGTCATGTGGGAGTCCAATGCCTCAACCATCATGCCACCTGCTGGTCCAATAGAATAAGTGTTTTTCTGTTTTGTTTTGGTTTTTAAGAGACATTTGTTTTGTTTTGTTTTGTTTTGTTTTGTTTTGTTTTGTTTTGTTTTGTTTTGTTTGGCTGTAGGGTACATGTGCTGGCCAGAAAGACAGTTAGCAAGAAATCACCACCCCCACCCCCAAGTATCACCTGAGGGGACCACATTGCAATTCTTTCTCCTCCATTCTTCTCTTGGGATTTTGGGCATGCACACACACATGCCTCATGTGAGTTTTTAAGTCATGTGGTCTAGTACTTGAAACTGCATTTGACTACATAGGAGTCCAGTAATGTAACCATTATGCCATCTGCTGGTCCCACCAATAAAGTAAGTTTTTATAAAAACTTTCCTGGGACCAGCAGATGGCATAATGGCTAAATTGATGTGGTACTATGTAGTTGACACAGTTTGAGTCCCAAACCCGGTGGCTTAAACTCATGCCGGACACATGTGCGTACGTGCCCAAGATCCCAAGAGGAAAATGGAGCAGAAGGGATTACAGAATGGCCATCCTCCCTGGGGGGTGATTCCTCGCTTTTGGTCTCTCTGTCTCTCTTGCCTTTCTGGTGAGCGTATGTGCCCTATAGCAGAATACCTCTAAAAAAAAAAAAAAGGAAATTTTCTGGGGCCAGCAGGTGGCATGGTGGTTAAGGTACTTGACTCCTACATGACTGACTGCACTATGAGTCTGGACTTAGTGGCTTGAAACTCATGCAGGGCACATGTGCATGCATACCCAAAATCCCAAGAGGAGACTGAGAGAGAAGGAACTGTGGTATGGCCATCCTTCCTGGGGAATGATTTCTCACTGTCCCTCTCTCTCTGTATCTGTGTCTCTCTCTCTCTCTTTGGTGAGTATGCACGCCCTTTGTCAAATAAATTTAAAAAAGAAAAAGTAAAAACAAAAAAACACTTTCCTGCTAGTGCTAAAATTCT